TACCTTAGAAGATCCTTGTTATGAAATAAAGAAAATTAGAGGATCCAGATAAAATGTTCTGGACATGCCAGAGAAATTGTGAATTAGAAATGCAAACAATAACAACTGTACCTTATAGGAAACTGATAGCCTAAGTTAATATCCTTATGACAAAGTATAAAAAAATATATTGGGAAATACAAAAACTGAAGCTGTTGTTCTTAAACTCCCCGCAATGAGGTAGCTCAAGGAATGTCCACCAGTTTCCAAATTTTTCCAAACTCTACTTTGGAATTGCAACTGGAAGCCTAAGATGAAACAACTTTTTATTAAGATATTGTCCCAAAACAGATCACTTTAGCTGAGGCAACATTACCAATCAGCATTCTTTCATGCAGACCTTAGAAGCATGTTCACATGTGCATAACTATTTGTGTTCTCTACACACACATGTATGCATAGACAACATACACTAAATTGCAAGTATGGTAATCAGGTAAACAGCTTTTCAAGCTCTGTTCTCACCTCATGGATGTAGCCACTGACATGAATTAGTAAGCCATAACAAATTCTGAATTCCTCCAAGAGAAAGGAATGAAGAGGGATAGAATTGCTGAGCTGGTGACAATAATTAAGGCTGATCAAGACCTTTGTAGCCATCAAAGAGTCTCTCATTTCTGCTCTAAGCAAAATAGAATAGGGATCAGGCAGCATCAAGAACGGGCTTAATAAAATAGCCTGCTACGTTTATAGTATAGTACTATTATTCTAGCCTGTCATTTGTGAATTACCTTTTATCTCAAGCAGGAATAATATCAGTGATGCCAGTTTCATTTTTTATAAACTTGTAGCTAGAAAATTAGAGGCATGATTTCTATACGTGCAGGAAGATTGCATAGCCTTTGTGATGACTTTGATCTACATCTTATCAAAGCACAGTATCAGGATCCTTTATTTCTATTCTTGGGGGATGTACACTTAATTAGCAAATAAAATAAAGAAATACAAGTAAGTCTTGATAAACTTCTATGATCTGTATTAAAAGTATAACAATGATATTTGGACTAACAGCATTTTCTTTTAATTTATTATTTTCATATAGCTAAGAAATTTCCACTGGCTTATTTATATTTATTCAACATACATTTTCCAAGAAAATTAGGAGGCACACCTTTATTTAGCATTATGGTCAAGAGCAGGACAAAGTTATCATGAACTTGGCTTAATACTCTCCTTTATTCAGTCAGTACAACCCTGCCAGTGAGTAGTGACACTTTCCATTAAAAGTCATCTATTATTTTGTGCACATTAGAAATTATAGTTTAAAATCTGTCAGTTATGAAAATAGCCAACTTCAAGCCATCAGTTATTTGTTTTAACTAACTAAAATTTATTTTATATTAGAGAGGTGCATGATAGCCTAAAGCTCACATAGCTCTAAATTATGGTTTAATATTATGTTTTAACTGAGCCAATTAGTATTACTTCCCAGTTTCTACATTCCAGTGCAAACTTTCCCCAATCTTGTACAAATCAGAAAATATAATGGAAAAAGGCAGCCTTTTACATAAACAATATTTCCCTTCCAATTGGCTCCTAGAAAAACTCATTATATCAGCACTCTCTCATTATCTTAAAGATAGCCAAATATCAATTATCTAGTTTTATTTAGGTTTTCTTTTAATGTTCTCAATCAGATGAATTTCAAACCACCACTATACGACCAACCACTGAGTCCCTGAAATTATTATAAAATGAATAATTTTCAAACTTGTAAAAAATGGATCTGATCTAACATAGATTATTATCAGCACATTATGCATGTCTACTCAGAACAAATTCCACTAAGCTTGACAGAGCTTAATCCCAGTGTATATACAATATTCATGCATATACTACTCTTGGGAGTAAATTCCACTGAACCCAGAGAAGAAGTTGACTAAACTTCACTATTTCAGTTTTAAGGAGGCATATTCAGATTGCAGCTACATATCTTACTGCCTTCAATAAAAAAAGAATACTAAATATAGGAATCACATGGATTTTACAAAAGATAACTTTAAAAATGTAGTCTTTTGGTAAAGATGCCTGTATTCAGATGTTTAGAAACTAGAAAGAAAGTGTCTGATGAAATAAAATGAACTCTTTCCAAATCATTCTCTGATATCAAACATTTGAAAAGATAATTGAAGAAGGTTAAAAAAAATGGACTAACACACACATTTTTATTTGTTTCTTGATCTAGAAACATAAAAAGAATTATATCATAAGATCAGTGAACACTTCAAAATCTCAGGATCCAACTGGCTTTAATTAAGCAGTTATCACTTTCCCCCCAAAATAGAAAATGCTGGATTAACATTGCAAAATGTCTGTCACCTTGCTGGATGATTAATAATGACTTCAGAATTTAAGTTTGGAGAAAGTCAAGACCATAAATGAAAGTTTCTTCCTTTGTGTGTACTATAAAGGCTTCAGCTGAATGCACACATCCTATTTTTTCCAATGAGGCTTATTTTCAATAAGAATATACAGGACTGCAACTTTCAAGAGTTTACTTTGGAATCATATGTACCTATAGCAATGAAGAACTGTAAAAAGAATCGGGGACAGGAACCAACCTGCTGCATACAGTAGGCTTCTGCAGCCAATAGGGGGTCAAAGTTCTCTTCCTATGCCATCCTTCCTTCACATTTCTATGCCTAGCACTTAAAAGGTTTACGAAACATAAATATGGTTGCTAATTACTTCATTAGTGTAATGTGTAGTTCTGTTTTCTGTGTGGGCTCATATTTCTAAAGGCTGTTTACCTCCTGGGAAATAAAACCACAAAGATCTAATTCAGATGGCTTTTGTGAGACGATTGTGATTAAATATTTTGCATGGTTAAACAAGCATTCCTCCAGTAGTGCCAGCATTTTTCCATGATACTATGACAACATCATGGACAAATGCTGGCATTACTGGAGGAATGTTCTGAGCTACAGCTTTGGATGGAAACCTTGGCATGAACCCAGAAATCTCCCCTGACAAATATTCTGATTTATTTTCTTTTAGTAAGTATTTCAGGATTGCATGTTTGTTTAGCACTTTATGGCTGAATTCACACAGCACATTTACCCAATGATATCTGAGCCATGATTTATTCAATTCACTCAATGTTCTAATTCTCATAAATCACTTAATTAGAGGCTATCCATATAGGGTGGATTCACCCAACATGCGCCTGGTTAATCTGTGGTCTTTTGAGTCGTGAGAACCCAGCTTAAGGGTGAATGCTGGCTAAAGAAATTCAAATCAGGTATTCCCAGCCTGACTCACACCTTTATCATGAATACACCAGGTAAATTTAGCAAGCCACTTTCGGTTATGATGCACCTATCCAAAACAGTAGTAGATAATATTACTAATGGTCTAATTTAATGGCTTGTTGCTAGAATCACAACCAAATAATATAATTTATGTTCTAGAGATGTTTGAAACTTCTTAAAAATATTCATCATCATTTCTAATAATTTAACAATAGTGCGTAAGGGAGGGAGATGGGCAGCTAAGAAAAATATGAAAATATCAATAAATAGAGCTCATAAAGAGTGGGAACAGAACACATTCTTCTCCTGGCTTCCTATGCTCCACTGATTTAATTTCCCCCTCCTATCAACTCTGCTAATAGGAAAAGTGTCTCAAAAAACAAGGTAGAGAGAAAGGAACTTAATATGTATTAGGAAACTTAGATCTATGTTTGCCTTTTCCCAGGAGCTCAGGGTGATGTACATAGCATTGCATCCTATGGTTAAGGTTGCATGTGAAAATAGTATAGCAGGCCTGAGCTGGTAATCAACAGAAAATATGCTGATAAAAGCTACGGTTAATGCATAGTTTTCAAACAAACACAGATGCAGAGATTCAGTTGTGATATAGGAAATCATCAAGCTGAGTGAAGAGTACATTGCCCTGATAATGGAGCCAATCATCCTGGGGTGCTCTTGAGGACATCCCTCATCAGCAAGATTCTCATTCCTGAATTGAAACAGACCTTTGCTGTGGACTGACAGCAGTGGCAAATTTTATCAATGTAGTAATAATCTATTGCCAATGCTTCTCCCAACAAACATTTTCTACTTTTTGGGTTCATTCCCATCCATTCATCACTCCCTAAGTACATTTCAGTTCCATCTGTGAAGCCGGGAAACAGCCTTCCCACGGGAGCCCTCCCAGCTGCTCCCCACTTTTGTCTTTTCACTCATGCTGACAGAATAACAGCTCCCTAATTTAGAACAGCTCTGAAGACTGTCAGCGTTTTTAAACCCCCTTAAGAATCTTAAGGAAGGAAAAGTCTTTTGTATCACTAAATTCCTGGATGTGACAGCTTCTGCCATGTTTGGTGCATTCATGCAGCCATGGAAGTTGTTGAGTTTAATATTTACAGTATTTAGATATTAATATGAAATATTAAATATGTATTTTCTGCCCTTCTATACCTACAATAAAATGAACCCCAGTCTAGGGACAAGTCTTACCTATCCAAACTATCTTTGCGGGAGGTTCCTTGCCCATTAATTTTTTCTACAGCCAGGTCTAATAAATTCATCATCAGCTTTCTTTGTGGATTAAGTCAGGGTCCAAGGTTGCTAATGGGTGCTTACAGGTAACTCTAGTACATTTTGAGCATGTATGACAGGCTTTCTTTTCATTTAAAAACAGGCTTTCATTTTTATTTAAAATACCTAGCCAGCTTTGACTGATCTAGAAATCTAAGCATGGCTGGCTCTAGTTTGTCCTAGATGGCTGAGGAACATCTGGAAAGTCTAGGGATATAGGCTAAACTGAAGGGGGCTGTTTGTAATTCATTTCTTCTAACCTGATCTTTTCCAAACTGGTCCCACTAGGTATGTTGGGATTACCTCCAGCTATTCTAGGAACTAGGAACCATGTGGGTAATTTGGTGGACACCAATTCTAACATCACTTTTAATGAACAAACCATACCAGATGTTAACTCTAATTCTATGAAACTTGTACCTGTCATAATCTCCATTGCACAAGGCTCGCACAGGGATAGCGAATGACTGCCATACTGGATTCAGAGTGTTCTTCACCACTTCAGTTTTATGACAGATGGTAAATCTACCAAGATACAGAAGGTCCATTTAGTTATAAGTTAATTCTCAGAAACTGAAGAATGCCTTGGGTTAGACAACAATAGAGAAGAAAGAAAAATCTCATTGTTTTTATTTTTGAAATATGCTTCTCCAGCCCACCATGGACGATGAAAATTGGACTGGGTTGGATCAAGATAAAAATGGATTACTTTAATAGCTGTAAACACTGGCATTCTCTAAGCACTTGCAGCAGAAATAAGCACCAGCTTCATGCAATATTAGCTAACATTCTTCAGAGGATATAAATATTTTCTATTAAAATTATACTTTTATTAGCACAAGTAGTGCAATATTCATTCCCACAGAGACAAAACTTGCTGAAAGCAGAACTATATTGGGAACCAGTTTAAAAGCAATAACCAGCAAGATATGGCAATATCTCTAGAAAGGAGAAGCTCATATTTTTTCAAACAAGGGAGGGGGAAGTTTTTTTTTTTTCCAGGCAGGGCCTGTGTTTTTAAGAAATAATCTGCTGGGAGCCATGTTCCAGTAATAACCAGAGCCAGAATTGGGCAGATCACTCTTTTCTTCTTCTCTTTTTCTATTAGCTCAACTTTCCATAATGTCCATCTTTCCTCCCATCCAACCTATTTTTGGAAAGACAGATCACTCTTGCTACTGACTTAAAATGACCCTTTTGCAAAAATCCTTTGATGGCTACATGAATCACAGAATACATGAATTACCCAAATCAAGCATTCTGATCACCCTTACTGTAATTTGGTTGGGACATTTCAATGAGAAAGCGTTTGCCTAGAACAGTGGTCCAAACTACCAAACCTATCAGATTTTGATTCTGGGAATATGGATCTCCATCCTGCTCACACAAAAAATGTTAGGGTCTGAGCCTGGGAATTTGGATGCAAGACAATATTTTATTTCAGCACTAGCCTTGCACTTTGAAAATTGAGGAAAATGTTCACAATTTCAAGGAGATCTGACTTTCAGTTGCCTATTTAATTATTCAGAATTGTCAGCTAGGGAATTGTCTTGTTGTTAGCTAACTTTTGCCCAGACCTTTTTTCTATTAAACACAACATCTCATTTCACATCTTACTGGCTTAGTGAACAACTTCAGGAATATTCATAAATCATCTTTTTAAAATGATCCTGAAAGTTGAAAACTTAGCATATTTAGCATAGTCTTTTTATTTTCTCCTCAAATCAGTTTTTTACTTGAACTGGTCCAAAAAACTCTTTCCAACTCACAAGAAAAGTTTGTTCAATTGACATGGTATGATCATGCATAAGAACAGATAAAGCTTCAATCACACAATCATAGCCATCATCTTGATTTTTTTTTTTACCATATCCTATAGATCCCATAATTCTTAAGACTGCAAAACTGGAAGAATGCTAAAAAAAATACTTATCCATCCTGAGTTTAATAGTCAATGCCTCTCTCACTCAAGCTTTTCTTTGATATTATTGCAGAATGCTGATCTTTTCAATTAACCAAAATGACTGTATTTTTGGAATGTGAGGTAAAGAACATTTAAGAAGGAGGGACCCATTGTTTTAGTGTCAAGCCAGATTACATATGGCTACAATAATTTTGTCTGTGATATGCATTAGCCTGGACAAGTTCTTTATATGAAGCTTTTGAAAGATTTCTTACTAAGGAAAGCCTGAACAGGGAGCAGCAACCAGCTACACTGATTGACCTAAACAAAAATCTGTTGGATCTTACTGGCATTTGAAAGAGTGATCATCAGAAAATGCAGACTTATAATCCAGACTGGGAAATCACAAACAAAATTCCAGAATGACCAGCAAGTTGTTCACTGTGTGCTAGTGAAGAGTCAGTTAAAATTGGAACAAATCTATTGCCAGAAAAAAAACCACTTGTACTCACGTTCCATCTTCATTACTTCTGAAGAACACCATAAAAGGGTCTGATTTCCCAAAGAAGTCTTTCTTGTCCAGCTTGTTGGCACAGAACTGCATTGTGGCTATATCCTTGGAATTGGAAGAAGAAAATATATTGTCTAACAGCATTGCTGTTGAGCTAACAGAGCAATTTTAAGAAGTTATACTGGAAAGTGGTATAGTACCACACATAAACATAATAGAGTTTGCAATTGGCCCAATAGGAAATAGCAAAAAAAAAAAAAAAAAAAAAAAAAAAGACTCATCATGGAAAGAAATTCTAATCCAGTGTGTAACTGAAAGGACTACAATAGCATGAGCAAGGTTTGAAAAATTTGGGAAAGCTATCAGTTTGGCATCAAACAAGGATACTGCATCTACAGCTAAGACTTTTTACTCATAGACCTTGGTACTCAGGTATTTTCTTTCCCCATCAGTCTCTGGAACATACACTGAAGCATGTTAAACTGAACTCTTTATAGAAGAGTTACAGCTTGCCAATGATTTTCGTAGTAGATAAATCATCCACTACACTTTTTGACTTCCTGGCATTTAAATCAATCCAGGCCCTTAGGATTATAATGGAACTGGCTGCTTCCGTGAGTTAGATAAATACAAACAACTTTATATATTTATCAATCAGCGTCACTGCTACTCTGTGATCATGCACACAAAAATCTTGTTAGGATTGGCATTCCATAAACACAATAAACTTGCTAAAATATTCCCACTAATTCTTCTATAAGTTGCATTTTCACTTGCAAGAACATGTGGACTTTATGTACAATTTCCCCTGCTCTGCATTTTTTGCATATTTTTCCTAGATCCTCCATACATTGCTGCTAAATCAGGTCTCCCTAATCTCTTTCCTATTTGCCATAGTTCAACATCATCCTGTGGATTAGGTCCAATGCTCAATCTTATCAAAGTAGTTTTGAACTGTGATTTTGTGCTCTGAGATATTTCTCAATTAGCTCTGTATCATCTACAGTTTTGATAAGCGTGCCTTCCATTGCATTTTTAGGCCATTTATCTAGATACTGAATAGCAGGAGGCCAAGGATAGAGTCCTGGGGAATCTCACTTAATCCTTCCCACCGGGTTAATACAGAACTACTCACAAGCCCTCTTTGGATGTGATTATTCAACCAGTTACAAATCTAACAAACCACAGTATCATCTAGCCTAGGGGCGTCAAACTCAATTTCATTGAGGGCCGCATCAGCATTGCAGTTGCCCTCGGGGTGTGTGTGTGTGTAGGGTGCAGCCTACTGGGTGGGTGTGGATGGAGTGGGTGTGGCCTACTGGGTGGGCATGGCCAGCTCTACATCGTTCGCATCAAGGGTGCCTGTGGGGGCCTGGGCAGGAGGGGGACAGATCTGAGGGTCTCTGGCAGAAGGGGGTGGGATTGGGGCAAGTGTCCATTTCTTCATTCCTCATAATGGGTGACACCTCTCCAGCATGCACACAGGGGGCGGGGCAGACACAGCAGGGGCTGGTTCCTCGCTGTTTCTAGACGGCCTAGTGGAGCTAAGACTGAATGCATTTCAGCATAGATGGCCACCACAAAATTGTACATTAGCTCCAGGCTGGCCTGGGCCAGGGCCAAGGCAGCAGGGGCCGTTCCCTCACTGTTTCCAGGATTGCTTCACGGGCCACATGAAACCACTTTGCGGGCCGCATCTGGCCCCCGGGCCTTGTGTTTGACATGTCTTATCTAGCCCACATTTATCCTTTCTGTCCACAAAAATATCATGAACGTCTTTGACAAATGCTTTTCTGAGATCAAAGTATATTACATCCACAGTGCATCCTCAGTCTTTTAAACGATTCATGTTTCATAAATAGAGGAAACACCAGACCACTATTTTTCTACTTGGCAACTTGAAGATATGTGAACTTCAACTCCCAGAATTGAACTGGGATACATCTTTAAGTTGGAATAGAAAGACAACACACAACTAACCATCACAGTTAGCTCCTGATAATGGTAACATTCTTTTTAAAATGCTCATAGCCACACTGCTTGACAATTTATTTAGCACAGATGCTAAATAATAGGTACATATTTTTCCAGGTGCTCCCTCTACCATTTTGTATATTGGTTGCTCTTATCTAGCCTTCCAGCACCACCAGGAGGTTTCAAAGAACACAATCAGTTGGCAGGAGTTCATGTATAATACATTTTTTTTTTATTTCATGCCTGCCAGGAACAACCATTTGGCCTGAACTAGCTGCAGATACTCTATAAGATATTGCTGTGTTAAGAAAATAATAGCCTTGCTGTTGTAAGCCAAATGTTTCAAGCTGTAAACCACTGAAGATCACACTGTGTCTTGAAGTGTCATGTTTGAGATGAAAAGTCAGTTTGATGAGACTTTTTCCACCAGTAGGGAAGCATGAAAGGAGGCCAGAAGAGATTAGTACCCCATTAATCAATCCTTTTTGATTGCAATTCAAGACATTTTTGTTCTGCAAAATTCTCTGCCAGTGCTGCTTGAGGCAGACAGCAGTGGTTATTTTCCAGGAGAAAATGAGCGAATCACCGTGTATGGACACTGAATTTTTCCAAAAGTACCACTTTAACTGGGAGAAAAAGAGGAATAGAGCATGCAGGGTAAAATAAAAAAGAGCCATGCTGTCTTTACCTTTTTGAGGAGTGGTTATTACGTGGTAAGGCATTTCTGATTTTCTGGATTTTTTATTTTTATTTACTAATTTGGATTTCATAGTTTATAAACAAATACCTAGGACTGCTTGAAGCTTAAAGTGAAGAAGAAAAACAACAACCACAGATCAGAAATGTAAATTGTAGAGTTCAAAAGAAGCAAAAATTCAGGAAGGTTTGACTTATGAGAACATGAGCAAGTTTCCTTATCTCTGCATGTTGTACATGTTTTCATGCTTCCTAAGGGAATTTGGAAAGCATTAAGAAATGGAATACCACTGCTATTTCTGTTTAATGTACCTTGCAAATCATACAGGAAAATGCATAAGGAATGAAGCACTGAACTTGGGCAACAGGGTGACAAATAACATTAATATAAGATATATCTCTGGAGTTCATGCCTCAGGAGCAATGGTATATGAATAAGCACCCAGGATGCCAAGAATACACAAAATGCATCTTTCCATTTAAGAAAGCTGCACTTTAACCTAAAAATATCCTTGGGGATTAGAGATGGAAGGAAATTTTGATTAATTTGCATTTGGAGATAAATGTAATAAAATTACCCTTCCTAAGTCAATATGGAACTGGGATCCAATTATCCTATGGTATTAACATTTCTCAGAATGTTGCAGTACAATCTCCTACACAATTAAATTATATGAAAAATGTGTGTTTCAGGGGGATATGCATATGTAAAACAGATTTAAGGGAAACTCCTTATATAAATTAGCAAATAATCAGACCATGTCCCATGGAAATACCCTTGCCTTGTGGATGTGCTCACTGAAAACAAAAGATGTCCTTGGGAAGGACATTAGAGTGAATCCTTAGGACTACTGGCTCTCCAGTATAATGGCTTCTTCACTGACATTGTTTGAATCAATGAATCTTGATGCATCACATGGACTTCAGTGGATGAAGCATCTTGAAACATTATCTGGTTTCCTTGGCAGGCGCAACACAGCAGTTTCTTGTCCATTTGACTGACTTCCTTTTCCAAGCTATAGTCATGAGTAGATCTTTGATGTTAGAGTGAAGTTTGTAAGCCACGGGCAGGGAGATATGGTGAAGAAGCAGAGCCATCTCCTGCTTCTAATCATCTTCTTTGTGCAAGCGAAAGAGTTAAGGCAACTTCTAGCACAGGCTGCAGGACCGCTCATGTAAAGCTAATTGCTTAGGTCTCGGTTTGTTGTGATGGAAAGGGGAGTTAAATTCCCTTTACAGCACAACAGATGGGCTGCTTTGAATGCATTCAAGCGTACCCCTGAAATTCTGACTGGATCTTATGTCAAAAGTAGCACGCAATAGCAAGTGCGTTGAAAGAGTAAATACAAACATGCAAACCTTTCCACATACTTTAGATAATAAACAGGGCATGTGTATAAGCATTCAAGCATTCAAAAAAGCAATAGAGATAAAATACAACATGATATAATTCACCTAAGCTTTCACCATGTACATGGTGTGTGCACCCATTTCCACAGATATACACACAAAATACTTTTACATGGGTGAGAAAGTGCTGATCTGCATGCATGATTTGAAGGCATGGGAATTTAACCTGAGTATGTCTGAGGACAAAGAATTGTACAAACATGTGTAGGAGAGAAATTAGGATTTTATTCCTCTTATAGACATCAGACTTGTGGGAGAGATGAGGTGAGATAGTGATATTGTTTGTGTTAACTTCTGTACGTGGGAGAAAAAGAAATTGAAAATATCTGCTTTGCTGGAGTTTAGATAGGCTGATGCTTTTCTAGAAACAGCCATTGGTTTACTTTGCTCTCTTTGGTTGTAAAGAGATAGTGAACCTTTACTGGCCCAGCAATACTTGACTATTGGGATCACCCAAGCATAGTCTCTTTCTCTTCTTTGTCACCAACACAACTCAGTCATAACTCTTAAAGCTCCAGATGCTCTGAACCTTTTCTGTGGAAGAAAGCATGCTTTTCTTCTGTCTGTGGCAAAAACAAACTTGAGAGCACTTTTTAGTTCAATTTACTGTAAAGAAAATAGGCTGTGAAAAAAAAAATCCACAGCAGCTTTCCCCTGATGGGATAGACTCCAAATACATATTCAGTCTGACTAGTTCTCAGAAAAGAATGAAACTCTGCCTTTTATGATGTGTGTCCATTGAGAATAATTGTTCCAAGTTGATCTTGTGAGCTTCATAGAGAAGTAGAGAATGAAATCTTGGCCTTTCTATACCTAGTGCAGCACTCCAACACAATCTATGCGCCTGTGCCTTCGAGTCAACACTGATTCCTCACAATGGCTTGGACTAGTAGTTTTTGTGACAAGATTGCAAAGTAGTTTGACTTTGAGGACTTCCTAGGGCTGAGAGAGAATGACTGGCCAAAAATCACCCAGCTGGCTTTGTGCTGATAGTGGCTGTAGAACTCATGCTGGTTTCTTGTTTAGTGCCTTAACTGTCACACCTAAAGGGTTCTCTATTGCCTGTCTGTAATGAAGCTCACTATATGTCTCCTACATCTTACAGATATTATTTCATCCAGATGAAGAATGGCTTAACACGAAACGTTTGTTCAATATTGGACATATGACAGCAGGCCCATTTAACATAACTCTAATATGAGCTCTACTAGCTCCCATGGACTTCTGGGTATAATCTAAGGTGCTGACTCTTAGCTTTGAAGCTCTACATGGCACGAATCTCAAGTACTTGCAGGATTGTCTATTCCTAATAGTGTCTGCCTGTCCCACCAGACACGAAGAAGTGGACGTGGATTGGTTCCCCTTGGTGAAGTAGTGTCATTTGTTGGGACCTAAGGAGTGTGCCTTCTCTATCATGGGGACGACCATATGGAATAACCACTTCCTCCCTTTTAGATGGCCTAACCATGTGGTCTTCCAGAAGATTTAAAGACTTGCCTTTTCTGCCCTGGGCACTGGAGCTAGGATGTTAGTAAAGTCTCTGTGTATATATGTTTATTATGTGATTAGGATAATTTTTGTGGGAACCTCAATTATATTCTTTTAAGTGATTTTATTGTTGTGTGTGTGTGTGTGTGTTTGTTTACTACTCAGGCACTTATATAAAGTTGTCAAAAATAGTCTAACTAAATAAACATAACAAAAAGAAAAAAAAACAGAAAGCAGGACCTCCCCCCCCCCAAATATTCATGCTGTAATTTCCAGTACCATGATAACTTGGGATATGAAGTTACACAACTCTATCCCAGATTTATATCTGTTTCTCCTCAAACACCACTAGGTATCAAGCCCATAATCTTCCTCTGTCTGTTTTTTTAAGATATTCATCAATTTTTGGTGAGCATCCATTATTATCTTTTAAACAACACAAATTTTAGCTCTTTAGTTTTCAGCTATAAGCATTCTTTTGGTACTAATGTTGACTGTAATCTTGGTTCATGTTCCCATAATTATGATGGGAAATGTTCAGTTAACAATTACAGTAATTTCCCTTTTTGAGAAGTAGGGTGAAGTATCTTGCTGCAGCCTTTTGACTCCCTGGAGCTGCCCAGTTTACTTCTACATATGATTGACTCCTGCTGATCTATTAGTGAGGGCTCATCTGATTTACTTCTGCATGATACATCCTGCTGAGAGTTTTACTCATATTGCTGGCTGCTATCAAACTATTTAGCTAGGAAAGTATGTTATATTTCATTTAGAACTAGAAGTATGTTATATTTCATTTAGAACTAGAACTTCTGCTATAGCCCTGCCTTGCAGAATATTCTCCACTTGAAGATTAGAAGAGACCCAACGCTGTTGGCTTTTCACAAAGCTTTAAAAACCTGTCTGTGTACCCCAGGCCTGGGGCTTGGAATGGGTTAAGTGTCCTGTTACTTGCCTTTACTATTAGTTGATTAACCATGATGGCTGCTGTTTATACTTATCTATTTTGTAGATGTTGTTCACTGTTTCTACAGTTTTAAAAATTGTTTTAAGTATTTTATAATTTTATAATTGTAAACCTTCCAGAGTCACTTGGCTGAATTGAGTGGCTATAGAAATTGAATAAATAAATAAGTAAATTTCAATGGTTTTACTAAATACCCACAGGTCTGTACGTATACGTACAGCTAGCATTTTCCCCCAGAAGGGGAAGAGATCTTCAGTGAGCTAGTACTGCAGTTGTGTGGGTCAGGACATAGAATAAAAGCATTTAAGAGTAGCAGTTTTTAGATGGAACTTGCTTAAATATATACCTTATATGAGGTTCTGCATCACAAAAAAATAATATCAGAGTCTCTCATTATCTTTCACAACATGATATCTCTGATTCCGATGCAGCATAGCGTATCTGTGTAACTTTAATAGAACAACTTTCTAGACCATCAGGGACTCCCTAGCACTGGGGCTTTTGAATTCAAAGGCATCTTTTCTTCTTTTGACAAGCTTTTTGAAAGCAAAGACATGAACAGAAATTCAAAGAGAAAAGAATGACTCACCCTACAGTTGCCCAGTTCTTCAGCTGACAGAATGATGGTGCCACATTTTTTCCCTGGAATTCCTCTATAATAAGAGAGAAAATAGTTTATGAAGTGTGTAGAAAAGGGAGGAAAGAGACAGTTTGGCTGATGTTTCCATCCGTCTTTGCCCCCAGTATAGAATAATGTCAATTTTGTTTTTCTGTTCCATTTGCAGTGTCTCTTTTTATGAAACTCCAAAATGTCAGCATTAAGTCTGAATTTTCCAAACCTGTAACTTCTTTTCTACATTCTGCAATGGAGTAGCAAGAAGAAGAGATAGCTTTGAGGGACAGGCTAAAGAGCCACTACCAAGGCAAAGGCCAGATAGAGGATGAGTCAAGGGCTGGAATGTAACACAAGTAAACAAACCCATCCTTTGCATGAAGATACAGGGAGGGAGGGGGGAAGCATGTTCAGACTTGCACAAATCTATCATTAGGGCTGAGAATACTGTGTTTTGATTAAGGCTTTGATCAACACACTTTCAATGAATTTATGAAGCATAAAGGTGCCTTGTGTTTGGTGCTGTGTGAAAACATCCTGTGAAATCAGCTCCAGACAATCTCTGATGAATGTGTGTGCATGCATAGAAGATATATTTGCCAAAGCAGAGCAGCTGGGCTAAGCAAGTTGGCCCGCACAGAGGTGAAATGCTTGACCTTTCCCCTGTCAAGATACTGCCTTAAAGCCCAAAGCTCCATTTCCATCAAGTGAAGCAGGACAACGTAACACAGGGGTCCAGACGTGTCACCAGGAAACTGGGCCCACCCCATTGCCAGCACTGGGGAAAAAGCTCCGATACGTTGCGAACATCACGAGATGTCGCATGTTTGATTTTGGTTTAACTACTGAGTGCCTGTGTTAGCTGGAGATAGTAGGCTTTATACATAGTAATGTTCTTTCATGCTCTATTTATTAATTATTTTACTGTTGTATGGTTTGGATTCCCTTATAAATGTCTCAGTAACCCTGTACATCTTTCAGGGAACTCTGATAGGTGGATTAAATTAACCAAGATATCCAAAGTGTGTAGCTTTTTCAAGCATCAGACTTATTCTTAGCCTCTCTTTAAAATACTGGAGCCATTTCTAGGGGTTTTAATTAATCTACTATTGATGGTTGACTTTATGTGTGTATTTCTATGTGGAATTGGTTGTTGGCTTGCTGCAAGCTATCATTTTGCTGACAGCTGACACTGTAAAAGTATCTTAAATATTACAAATTAAAATGAGTTCTTTCAAACATCAAATATGTTTTCAAAGGTAGTATAAAATCTGAATACCAAAGAAAGTTTTTTTCCAAGTTAAAACCATATGATGGTTTGGGGCAAATTAAACCACTGCCCGAATGTGAAGCAACTGAACTATTTATTTGAATGCTCATATCAAGTTGACTATTGAGAGACATAACTCAAGAAAGAATAAAGCTAAGAAGAAAAGCTGTTTACCTAAAACCCCTTTTTTCTTTTTAAAAAAGTGTCAGTTTTATGATTTTGTCCATTTAATTCCACACAGACAGATGATGTCTTGGATAATGATGGTTCAAAATGGATTTAATCTTCAGAGTTGATGACAAGTCTATTTGTTCATGGAGTATGGAAATTAGAAGTATGACAGTGAATAACTAATATGATCTTTCAAATATAAATCACATAAAGCCCTAAATTATATCAGAAGGATTATCCTACTTATGATTTCTATTATTTTCATTCACCAATAGATGAAGAAAGGATTGGTTTAGAAAAATGATATGGTTATACATACAGATTCAACTAATAATAAATGGAAACATGAAAATATTCTATTTCTTATTCTATGTGGCGATTGATGCCTAATGATCACAGCTCCAAACTCTAAACTCTCTTCATAGTCAAAGTCAGAACTAAAGTGGTCAGTATGAATAATTTGCATTACTTTCATAGGCAAGGTTTGATTTTAAATATCATCTCTCAAATGGCAAATGGAGCAAGGTAATGGAATGGTGGACTCAAAATCCTGGTTTGTGGTAATGGCCACCGTCATGAGTTTTTTCCATGTATCAATTTGAAAGTGGCCCAGCAGGTGGCAGCACATAGCCAGATTTGGTTGATCTCAAATCACTTCTGAAGAACTGGATGCAATTAATTCTTGGATGGGAGACCACTAAGGTCCCAGGCAAGATTGGAAAATCAAAACATTCCTTGAAGGAAACAATCGGTTCTACAGTCAGAAACTACCTGGAGCTGTCCATGGTAACATGATCTTAACCAAAACAAGCCAACTCTAGTATTATGTGCTGGCTGATGCAATAGATATTGCAGTCATCTTTGCTACGATTTTGGATATTATTCCTTATAGGTTGTTATTGTTTACTTTCCGCCTTATATTTCATCTATGTTCCCTTTTACCACCACTTTTCTTTAAAGGGCATCTTTCAATCTGGAGCTCTCCAATTTCCTCAGAGATGGGAAGAGCCTTTTTGCTCATTCATTCATATTACAGGGCTGCCACTTGCCGTGTGTGTGTGTGTGTGTGTGTGTGTGTGTTATATTTCCATATCATAGAAAACACTGTCATACAGTTGTAGGGTTGTAATTGAACATGTCATGTATTTGAAGGGAAGCAAATATCAATCAGCCTGTCCACACATATCAGCAGTGGTGACTTCCAGTTGGGATGGGATAACTTGGAGCAGCCATGTTTAATTCACCATGGCTAATTCACCAGGGCCAACTCGCTGCGGGACAACGCGTTGCAGGACAATTAAGGAATTCAATTATTAAAAAATAATTAAAACATTATTTTAATTGTTGTCATTCACATTTTATTTTGTCCCTCCTTTGGCCTCCTTTCTTTAATGATTCTATTCCACTATTTCTTCAATACTAGTGTGACTCTTGTCCCATGGTGAGTTGTTCCGTGACAAGTTGGCCATGGTGAGTTTTTCCCAGAAAGGTTCAAGAGATATTCATGTTTGTTTACTATATTTCAGCTTTCTGTTGCAGATTTAAGAAAAGAAGAACAATTCAAGACCACAAGGAATTCTAAATCAGGCATAGAATAAATTTTGTTAATGTTATTGTCTGGCAAAAACACTCACCTCTGAATTTTTTTTTTTTTAGACAACACATATCTAGTCTCCTGATTATAAGAATTGGCTACATGCTTAACAATCCACATATCTGCCAAATATGTGTGATTATCCAGGTGATTTTGTGAACACACATGATATATTTAAATACAGATGACTCGATATTCAAGATCCAAGCTCAGTCAAGACCCACACTGGATGTTACATTCAGGAAGGAGGAGGAGAAGCACAACAGATTTGGCACTACCTGCTTTGAATATTAAATAGGAATGGTGATACTGTATGTGCCTTCCCCTTCTCTCCATACTTTATCAGTTGAGTTATTATGGGAATAAATGAGACAAGAGTTGTTGAATCCTCACTAAAAATAAAAAGAATGATAGAAAGAGCCAACAGTAATAGGCTGAGTTTGCCAAGATCACATGTGAGCTATTGTGGACTTGATCACAATAATGATATCTGAGTTCTATTACATTATGTTGTTGCATGTAAATTCTCCATCAAAGCATAAATGAAGCACTCCATCAGCAAAATTAGATTACTTTGATTTTGACCAACATTAATGCTAGGATAATCCACTGTAGGACTTTTTAAAAAAAAAATTAAGTAGATATCTCATAATTTGGTAAGAAAGACTGTGGTTCCTCGTGCACTTTATATTGATATTTTGAATGGGTGGAATGCACCAACCCTTCTCTGTTTTCTAATCTGCAGGAAAGCTTAAATATGACTTACCCATTGGAGACAGATGGCATAGGCTTCCCAGTTTTGGAATGCAATGTAAATGCTCCCATCCTGAAAAAAAGAATAAAAAAGACTTAAAATTATAATTTATTTATGTTATTCAATATATATGTCTGCATATCTCACATAAGTCACTCTGTGGGTGAATACAATTAAATATGTTAATATACTAATGCAAAATGAACATAAAAACAGTATATGAGAATAAAACAAAAATGCAGTATTAATTTCCACAAGTACCATTTCTACTCTTTTCATTCCATAACACCCTGCATGGTTTTTTTTCCCCATTCTCAACTAATGCTTTATCATAACCCAGGGCTGGTTGGTTTTCTCATTTTGCACATAGCACTGAAGTAATAAAACATTCAGCATTAAAATCACATATAATTCAACACTATAAATCAGAAATTGTCAGCTTCTTTTGAACTAAAAGGCGTTTCTAACATCTGAAGGGCCCGTCATGGGTGCTCTGATAAAATGGCAGTTGCAAAATGCTGAATTATCAAATGTGAATTACAGGTAGTCCTCAACTTTTGACCTCAACTGAGCCCAAAATTTATGTTGCTAAGTGAAAAATTTGTTAAGTGAGTTTTGCCCCATTTTATGACTTTTCTTGGCACAGTTGTTAAGTGAATCACTAAAATTGTTAGTAACACAATTGTAGAGTGAAACTGGCTTCCCCATCAACTTTGCTTGTCAGAAGGTCAAAAAAGGTGACCACATGACCCTGGGACAGTGCAACCCTCATAAATGTGGGTCAATTGCCAAGCATCCAAATTTAAATCACATGACCATGGGGATGTTGCAATGGTCAGAAGTGTGACAAATGGTCATAAGTCACTTTTTTAGTGCCATTTTAACTCCAAACAGTCACTAAATGAACTGTTGTAAGTCAAGGACTATCTGTACTCAATTTATACCTTGTCATCCTTTCACTTCTCTCCTTCCACCCCACCCTCCTAAAAATACTTCCTGCCACCTTCCTTCCAAAGTATCCACCATTTTTATTTTCCAAGAATGCCTGTAGGAATTTTGCAGGATCAGAGACACCTCAGAAATAAAAAAAAAAATCATACTTAGATGTGAATTTCTCTAATCAAAAGGGTAAAAAAATGAGTTGGCGAACCTGATGCTGCACACATTACCCCCATTCATAAATATTCCCAGATGAAATACAAATGTAAACATTTGTATTCTTTGGCAATATCTTCACTATTTATTGACCTAACTGAGATTCATTGGAATAGGAAAGTAGGAAACATCTGTTTAATTGTTATGTTTCCTACTTTCAAAAACCATCCATATTCTATCCTTGATAATCACTCAAAACTCTTCTACCCCATCTATCTTGGCTTGACATTTTGACATTGAACTTTCTTACTACTCTTAAGTCTATCAGCTGCATTGTGCCTATGTTTTCTGTTATAAAACTGATCACATTTACTGATGATTGTCATTAGCAACTTTGGATGTGGGCTTGGTTAAGTGATACAATGCAATGTTCCACTTTAAAGGCAGTGTGAGGTTGTCTCTGTGTAAATTAATGCAGTGCATGTGTGTGAAATATTGTCTCAGGCTATATGGCTCAATAAGCCAAAAACTAACAATATAGGCTAGATTCATTCACAATTCCAGGATAAACTGTGGTTAGCTAGGTTATTTAATGTGTTATTGAATAAACCAACGTCAAGCCACATACATCAAAGACTTAGTTCAGTGTAAGTAATTGAAATTGTAAAGTGAGTGATACAGAAGTGCAAAAATTGATAAAAACATTTGACAACAAACAACATGAGCCCCTGAAAGGATAAACGGAAATTCCAGTAAGATTTGGGGATGTTGTTTGAACACGAGCTGAACTCATCAACTGCAACAGAAATGCAGAAGTGAATTTCCCTTATGAAGTTCCTAAAAACATCTCCCAGTATGCAGTTATATGATGAACGAGGAAGGAGACTCTTCTGGCCATGATGCCCTGAGTCCTGTTTCTGTTCACTCGCCCATCCCAATTCTCCTTCTTTACAAAGATTCCCCCGAGATCACATGCAGCACAGAGATATGATAATTGTAGACTCTGCATGCCTGCCAATGCTTAATACACAGCATGACCTTGACAAAAGGTCTCAGCTCTAGAATATAAGTTAGCAATGCTGGGCATTTTCCAGACAGCAGGCACCTAATGTTGCCAGTCACATTATACCATTCAGCTTTTCTGTATTCCCCTCTTTAATGAATTTCTTATAGAAGAAAAAGTAGATAGATGCTATAATGGCACTTCCATCTCCCCACTAAAATTCTGCAAGGCATGACAATTAGACAGTAAAAACCCTTGCAAGAAGCACCCCTAGTCCTTATGAATATGGGTAGGGAGAAAACCACTACAATAGGGCCTGAATTTCTCCCTCCAGCATCTCCCCTGACAGCAACAATGACACCTTCTAAATTTCCTTGGCCTGAGGCCATAGCTAAAGAGACAGTGACTAATTTCGTTGATACAATTTCCCTGACAATATTTATAGAACTTGACTGAGGTTCCCTCCTCCTCTCCTGGTATATTCAACAGTTGAAGAGTCTTCTCTCTGGCTGCTTCTGCTCATACGTTCAGTTGAATGGGAGGCAACTGGGAAAAAATAGCTTCTACAGTCAGTGGGAGTGTCTTCCATCCCTTTTATTCATTAGCAGGATTGGTTCAGTAAATAGCATTGCATTGAACTGATTGAACCAATTGTCTTCTAATGGTCAATTTGACCAATAGGTATTGGGTACTATTAGGTACTATCTGGTAGGTGGCAGTGTCTATAGCAGGGGTCTTCAAACTTGGCCCTTTCATGACTTGTGGACTTCAACTTCCAGAATTCCTCAGCCAGAGTGCCTGGCTGAGGAATTCTGGGAGTTGAAGTCCACAAGTCATGAAAGGGCCAAGTTTGAAGACCCTTGCTCTACAGCTAGCAATTAGGAACCTGTGCCTTCAGGTTCATTAGATTCATAAATTGTGCTTTCTCCAGGTGCTCAAGACATACATAGTATTTCTCCTTCCCCAACGTTATACCCACAATAGCAACCCTTTAAGGTAGGCTAAGCTGAGATAATGCCTGGCTCAAAGTCACTTAATGAACTTCCATAGCTAAGGGCAGACTTGAATTTGGATCTCCCTAGTCTCAAGATTATTTCATACAATCTGCAAAACTATCCAGCTGTTTTATTTCTCCACTTCCCTATTGTTCTGCTCCTTCTACATACGGTGGCATAACCTAGTGCTCAATGTTTCCTTTTTATTCTCTCTCTCTCTCTGCAGTTTGAAAGTTTGGGGTTATGCAGGGATGGTAGCATGAAGCATCACTACTGTTTGTTTTATACATAATGTCAAGCAGGCCTTGCCCTCTTGGTGTCCTTCAGATCTGCTGAATTATAACTCTTCAGAATTCCCAGCCCACCTGACCAGTGGAAGTATTGATTTCCAACACATCTGAATAACACCAAATTGTGGACATGCTCTGAATGAAAGCTTTGTAAGCTTTAAGTCCACGTGTTCTTCCCATCCTATTTCTGGCAGGGTAATGAGATGGAGAATAGAAGAAGGAATCCCTTCAGACATATCATTAACCTTTGCCTAAATAAACAAATCTTCTTCAACTTGGGCATCTTTCAAATGTGGGGATTTCAAATCCAGGAATTTATTCCAACGGCAATAGAAAATTTCAGAAGCTGAAGTCCACAGATCAGAGTGCAATCAGTATTGGTTACCTGATTCCGAGCCCAACAATGAGGAACTCAAGTTAGATATATCTCAGATACCACAATGACTGGTAGACAGCCCCTGCAAAATAAGCAATGTGGCTTTCACCATATGATGCTAATCCATTTTTAGCAATAAGGGAGCAAATTCACCAAGGTTAGTTCCTGTTACTGAGCCTCAGAGAGGCTTTTAGAGTCTCTTATTAAGATTGTGATCACCATGCTGCCTGAGCAATGTTAGTGGTAAGCGAGCAGAGATGACAGATTGCCCTAGCTGCAGTTACTTGACAGTGAAGCGCGGGAACCTTTCTCCTACCAGCTGGAGAGCACTGACTAACAAATTGCAGAGACAAAGGACATGGCTTTGCCAGCTGCCATTTCTCTAGCAAAAACTGAAAATTTATCCAGACCTTGCCATTAACTCATAAGGCTCAAACCAATTAGTCTTCAGTAGCACTTAAGGAACTGGTGAGGAAATGATTGCTGTACTGAACATCTCCCCAAATACTTACATCAACTTTCCTCAGACAGATGCCCTCCAAGTAGGGTGAACTTCAACCCTCATAATCACCCAGCCAGACTACGGAAAGTTGCCCTACACTGTACACTGGGATAAACGATTCTACTTGGGAAAGCAAATTCTGCCTGCATTGTTGCAAATTTGTACATATTAAGAATCTGATGAACTGTACATGCAGAAGCAAGACCAAGGAAACTCATCTTATGTACAGTCAGACTTCCTGAAGAACTGGGCTCAGGAAAGAAGAAAGGAACAGGTTCTGAAACAGTAAAGCAGGAAAATGGCTAATTCTAGAAGAGGGGAAAGAAAAGAAAGAAACCGATTTGCAGAAGATATAAAAAAACAATTTCAGGTGCAATAAAGATAACCTATGTGAAAATGGTTTGCCAGAATCTTTCTAAGCTTCCTTTTTCACAGACTGTGCTGACAAGATGAATTTAATAAGCCAAGACAGAGGAAATCAGTCACAGCTTCCCTTTTTGCAGATCAGCAAACTGGAACAAAGATTCCTGATAATGTACTCAATGCTTTCAAATTTCCAATGGTCACCATAAAAATCAGCACCCCATCACTATGGAAGTAAGATGGAAGGGACAGCAAAGAATTATTCTTTATTGTAACTGGAATTTTCCCTGCTTGCCCCACTTTTTTATTGAGTCGGTGCAGGATTAAGGGCTGCTTTCTTCAGCTGTTTCTCTCTCATACATAAACAGATTGTTTAAGAAATCATTTTCTGAATTTCATACCCTTTCCTCATTTTGGCCACAGTGATAGCCTGGATTCTGTCTCAGCC